TTATGTTTTCTGGAACTCTCAGAACAGTCATATATTGAATTTGTTCATTGTGTGTCTTCTCTATTCTCTGATGTCATCAGCTTCAGGAGAACAGAAGCTAGGACCACCCAGCTCTGTATCTCCAAAGCAAATAGCACAGTGTTGGCTGCAGAGAAAATTTCTACAGAGATTAGTTGAAGAGAAAGTGACAATTACTTATGATGTCACTTTCTCAAGGACACTGGGTAAAAGTGTCCACTATAATGATACAAAAGGAAAACAAAGCCAAGTGCAGGGGCTCACACCTGTAATTTCAGCACTTTGGGAGGCCGAGATAGGTGGATCATTTGAGGTAAGGAGTTTGAGACCAGTCTGACCAACAGGGTAACCGCCCCTTGTCTCTACTAAAAATACAAAAAGAAATTAGCAGGATGTGGTGGTGGGCACCTGTAGTCCCAGCTACTCGGGAGACTGAGGCAGGAGAATCGCTTGAACTCGGGAAGCAAAAGTTGTAGTGAGCCAAGATTGTGCCACTGTACTCTAGCCTGGGTGACAGAGGGAGACTTCATCTCAAAAAAATAATAAAAATAAAAGTAGTGAAACCCCGTCTCTACTAAAAATACGAAAAATTAGCTGGGCATGGTGGTGCGTGCCTCCAATCCCAGCTACTCAGGAGGCTGAGGCAGGAGAGTTGCCTGAACCCAGGAGGCGGAGGTTGCGGTGAGCGGAGATCGCGCCATTGCACTCCAGCCTGGGTAACATGAGTGAAACTCCGTCTCAAAAATAAATAAATAAATAAAGGAAAAGGAAAACAAGACAGCAAAGAATTTATTGTATTGGATAGTGTCAACAGATGAGGCACAGTCAGTTGTAGATCCCCAAGTGTGACTCAACATCATCTGAATGTTTTCACACTATATCAAAATCCAATTGATTTTGTCTCCTTCTGTAGTTACAAAGGATAAGAATTTGACCTGTGTGCCCACTTAAAATCATTATTTAGTTTTATTTTCCCATCCACATTCTTAAAATGACTAAATTCAAAATAATTTAAAAGCCACATTAAAAACTAAATCAAAATCCTCAAGTTAATACCTGCATCTCTTTCTTCATGGCCTAATTCATAACTTCTTTAGAGTCTGGAATTTACTCCAGGGCAATTCTGCAAAGATTCTGTACTTAATTGTAGTTTGAGGTCATTATTCATGCTCATGATTTGCACTGAATTTACACATAAATTTTACTTGTCTAATTTTCTAATTACTGAGAAGAGGTAATGTGATGGCATCTTAATCTAGGAAAAACATCTCAAACACTTTTGCACACGTTTTGCATTTGGCATAACCTAAAACATATTTCCCCACACAACTTTTTCCCTTAACTCTTAAGCCCCTGAGTATTTCAAGTGAAACTCAATACATTTTATCTGGATTCATTTACACTCTCATTTACTCATCAGCATGGTGTTTTGTAAGAGATATTTAATATCCTCCAAGAGCCCTTTTTTCTCTTGCACATTTCAAAGATTTTCCTGTAGGAAACACTATGTTCCAAGCCATAAATTGAGTCTGAATCTAGAAAACAGGAGTTGGGGGAAGCCATAAATTCCAAATGAATTCCAAGTGGCACTGATTTTAACTGCCCATTATATGTATAACGTGGTTACCGAAATGAGAACGGAGTGCACTGAGTGAAGACCTTTTACATTTGGTGGCATTAAGTTTGCACCAGTGCAGCTGCTTAGGAAAGAGTAATGCGTATCTTCACTCTCACTGTGTTGACTGAGGACAGCTTCTTTTTCAGGAAACAGGTGTCACAACTGACAAATCCTCTCTGGGAGTAATCAACTTTCCACAGAATGACTTTCTCCTACTGGAAGGCAAGGGCCAACACCATGAGTAAGCTGCTTGTCACAGTGGCTGAAGGGTGTTCCCACTCCGGACCCACTAGGCAATGCGGTAGCAGCCCTAACACTTCCTGCAGCCCATTCAGGATGAGTGAATTTCTTTTTATTGCAGATATTGAAAACCAGCTTCAGTGAGCTATTTTTAAAATAAATTTTTGGAAGGATACCAGAGACTTCCTTAGAATTCAAGGAAAAATGGGAAATCCAGCTTCTTAAGACATACGACCAAGGGGACATTGTCAAGGAAGCTGGGCAGGCACTCAGGGAGTGACTAAGAGTACCAACCAGTGCACACTAATAATTTGCCAACTGACCACCCTCCCAACACTTTCCTGACTACCTAGCTCCCGGCCTGCTCTTTAGATTCTTCTTCTCTTCAAGAAGGAGTTTGTGGCCACACTATTTTCTTTGGTTTTGAAAATTACCTTAATTCCTATAATTGGTTATTTGTCTGTAGACAATTGACCATATTATTATTACTTACAGATATCACATTAAAAACTTACTCTTACATAATTGTTCACGGTGCTTATGGTATCTTGTGAGCCACCTGTTTTTTTGTTTTTTCGTTTTTTTTTTTAAGTTATCAGTTCCTATAACTGACTCACTCTGGTCATGAAGGATGGGTCTCTGTGTACTAGTAAGAGTCCAAATATTCCAACCTGAATGCTTATAATTGTTGGGTGTGTGTATGCATGTGTGTGTATGTGTGTGACAAACACATCTCAACACCTGAGAAACCTGGCTCAAAACAGATAAGATAGTTCCTCTCTTTAAAATATGTATTTGTTTATTTATAGACAGGGTCTCACTGTCACCTAGGAAGGATTGCCATGGTGGGATCATAGTTCACTGCAATTTTGGACTCTTGGGCTCAAATGATCCACCCAGTTCAGCCTCCCTAGTAGCTAGGACTACACAAGCACATGCCACTATACTTGTTTGTTTGTTTGTAGAGATGGGTCTCATTATGTTATGCAGGCTGGTTTCTTTTAAATACTTCAATTTCTAAATAAAAAACACTTTTAAAAGTAACTATCTAGTTAATACATATCCCCAAATACATGCATGTGAAACTAACATTGTCATTACATAATACATAATTATTACATTATTAATACAGATCATATAATGTTATTACATAATACATAAATACATATCCCCAAATATATGCATGTGAAACTAACATTATTATTACATAACACATAATTATTACATCATTAATACATATTATATAATACATTATTACATAATACATAAATACATAATTATTACATTATTAATTAATAGATTATTACATAATACATAAAGTCATAAATTTACCTTTTAAAAAAATTAATGGGATATTTTCAAAAAATATGGATAGAAAGTCAGTCTATTTTGAACTTAAATCCATGCATTTATATTTGGCAAATTTCTGCTGGAATTCCTAGGTGGCCAAATGATGCTTAAGGCAAGGTAAAACTTACTCTTTGCAACCCAGACCTTGTAAAAATCTTATCCTACTTCTAAGAAGCAGATCTATTCAAGAACTGCAAATAAAGTGGAGTCTTATTAAAGGGAGATCCCCCAGCCATGCTATTTATTGGCATGCTTGCCAACATGAATCCAAAGTGCTCATTTTCAGGAGTCATCATGTCCACATTCTTCAAGTTGAAACGTCCTTGTAGAGAGGAAAGTCACTAGCATGTTCTTTCTCTTTTCTCTGATTTTACTGAGTCAAAAGGAAAACCTCTAAACAGACCTTGTTTTAATCATCTGCCAAACGCATGGGCCCAAGGTTTTCCTCCTAGAGGAGGAGGTCTCACAGCCAGTCCAGGAGAATAACATTACCCACAAGGAGCAAACAATACCCTTCAGCAAGCACCTTCTTCTCAGGTCTACACAGGCTCAAAATTTTGACATCCAGAAAGACAACATTTGGAGAAACAGAAGCATCAATAGTAAAGAAATGCACAATTGGTAGAGGAAATTGGGCGACATAGTACCTCATCTATTCTCAATATGGTGCCACACATTTCCACAATTTAACATGGGTCTCAAATAAATCAGGTTGTGGTCAGATAAGAATTTGAATTTAAAATGAATTAAAATGTGTTTCTTACCAGTTATGGCTTTTTGCATAGAAGCTTTAAAAAGATTGTGGTTTGAAAATGCTTACGATCGTAAAACAATAAAGCGAAGGGGTCTTTAGAGATACATCAGCACTGCACCCTGGTTTAACAGATGAGGGAACTAGAGAATTGAGTTTCCCAAATGGCATAATTGTTGTGTGGCAGATTTCAGGCTACAATTGGATTTTATAGTTTCCAGTGATTTTCTCCAGTTTATCTGGAATTAAAGTGTGAATTCTGATTTGAGGATTTATAAAAGCCAGTGGGCGACTCTACCATTGATGCTGTCTATGTGTTCTTTGTGTACTGAGATTTCATGGAGGTCATGAGGAAGTGGAAGATAATTTCTGTCCTAAATAATGTATGAATTAAATCACAATAAAAGGATCCATTGACCATAGCATGACTCTAGATAATGCTTTGCATTAAATGATATGAAAAATTTTACTCAGTGTTTTATGATATTTACTTCTATTTGAATGCAAATTAGTTAAATATGTGTACAACTAACATTGGAAGAAGGAAGTTATTTTTTCAGATTCAGTTTCCTTACCTGTATTATTGGGAAAATAATTGCTACTTGTGATAAGGAAGTTTAATAAGATAACTTATTCATGGAATCTAGAACTGTGCCAGGCACTTAGTGTGTATTTTGTGAATGTTGATTTCCTTGAGGAATATTAAAATCCTTCTAACTTCTGTGACTTCAGGTCCATTTGAATGATATAGGACGTAAATTCACGTGTACACAAATAGCCTAGAAATAAACTTGAGGACAGTGGTTGAGGAGAGGCATTCAGTTCTTACTTGTCTTTGTCCTCACATAACCACATGTATTCATATCTCCAGCCCATTTTGTGCCAGCCCTTTATGAGGCTGGCTTTCGGCCTCATTGGATAAAGACATTCATCCCATGTTCTTCTTCAGTTCTTCCTTCAAACACCCTCTGTCCTGGGTTGAATTGTATCTCCTCAAATTCATATCCACTTGTAAATGTGCTCTTATTTGGAAATGGAGTCTTTGTAGATGTCATCAAGTTAAGATGAGATCATGTTCAATTTGCCTGGGCCATACATTCAATATGATTCTCGTCTTCCTAAGATGAGAGAATAGAGATACAGAGGAAAGACAGCTATGGAAGACAAAGACAGAGATTTGGATTATGCTGCTACAAGCTAAGAAGTGCCAAGGGTTGCTGGCAACCACCAGAAGAGGCAAAGAAGGATTCTCTTCGAGAAGTTTCAGAGAGAGCAGACATCTAGTCTTTAGAACTTTTGTTATAAGATATGCCTAAATTTTGTGATGATGTGTTACAGTACCCCCTGCATACAAATACACCTGCATAGAGGAAGGTCACGGAATTTGTCAATGACTAGGTAGCCCATCCTCTGCACCATACCAGGTAGACAGAAATTCCCTTAGTAACCCTTATTCCAGCCTAAATATAGCACCTGGATTTCTGTAATCTACACCATCCCTGGTATTCTCTTTAGAGAAAGAATGTTGAAAAGTGAGATCACCTCTAACATCCTTTCCAAGGAGTCCAGGCTTATCTTCTCCCTTTGAACGTCACCACTCAGGCTCTCTCTGGGCTCTGACAAGTTCCTGGCCCTAATGAAGCAGAGAACTGCAAAATCCAGAAGACCCTGGAGAAATATCATTAGTGAGCAATTCATGGCAACTGGGAATTTCAGGCAGGAAAATGGTTATGGTTAATTGACCTCGTGGATATTAAAATGGGTTTAGGATTTGGGACTTCCCTATTTGAGCTCCATCCTAGAGTGCATGTGCCTCAGACATGCTGTGAGAAGCGGTTTCTATTCACTGGAGTGCATTTCACCCCCACAGGATTTTTCAGTTAATGTTGGACTAAACATGGATGTTTGGACTTAGGTAAGTGTGTCATATTTGGCTTCATTTGTAGTGTTAACTTTGGAATGCAAAGGGCAGTATATCAAACTATAAAATAAACCTCTCCAAGGTGTTTTTGTGGATTCTCTCATACTGCAAAAGAACAACCATTTGCAAAAGAACAACCATTCCTTCTAGGGAATGGAACGAAATTTTAATCTAGACTTTAAGACTAGAATGCTAAAAATAAAAATGCGAAGCAAATTAAAACCCCCTGTTATTACATTGTTTTGTAAAAACGTTGTTACTAGCAATTGATTGGGACTTGAAGCCTTCCTCCAGAAAAAAAAGGACTTGACTGTGAGGCCTATATTTGGTTCCAAACCTCAATGCCATGTATTTGTAGTATTAAAAACTGTTTCGATTAAAACAAAAGAAAAAATATTTTTTTTCAGAATTTACTAAAAAGAGCATTCATACATAAATACCTAAATATTACTCAGTATATTTTATTGCGCCTTTCCATTCCAAATTTCACTCCATTGATAAACTGTTGCGACAATCTTCAAATGGAGTCTCTGTCTTTCTTCATCCAAACTGTCTTTTCAACCAACAAAGCTATGTATAGCTTTGAGTTGTAATGGAAAATTCAAAATTCTACAAAGCAAGACTTTAATATTTGAAAACTCATGTTTCTTTAAAGGACAAACATTCGTATACACACACACAGACAAACACACACAAATTTAGGACAACATGTATAAGGACTGTGGATATAAAGAAAAATAATCAATTTTTCATGACAGGGTTAAATCAGTCTTCAAGGACAAATGAGGAGATATTTGAGCTGGTCTTAGAAAATGAGCAGGAGAGAGAGAGAGAGAGAGAGAGAGAGAAAGAGGGGGGAATTAGGGGTCTTAAACTCAACTGCTATTATGCAAGCACTGTTTTCAGACCAGGTGACTGTCTGTAGCATGACTCTCTCCATGTCACTTGCTGTGTCACTGTTGGCCCTGGCTCCTCACTCATTGCTTCTAAGTGAAGTTTTGACATCTTAGCTAGAATTTCAGGCCTTCCAGAATTATATTTCAACTTTATTTCTGTTAGTTTCCTACTCCATCCTCTACTCTACTGCACAGTATTTCTTTGGGAAGAGCTATTGCAGTGCCATGAGCATCTCCTGCCAGAAGGCATGGGGGGCATGCATCATGATCCCAGTGAAAGGCTTCCATGGGGTAACTGGAGAGCTTGAAACATGACCCCTACATTTGAGAGACATGGGGGAGTTGTGCTTGATGATGAGAACGTGAAATGATGACAGGGTGTAGACCCCTGTGCTGGATCCTTCCTGTGATCCCAACATTTGTTGGGTCAAGGGATGCTTGTTTCCCATGGAGCATGGTTCATTTCCTACAGAGATAAACAGACACATAGAAATAGAGAAAGATCAAGGTCAGGCATGTGGCCATCTTGGGTGCCACCCATAAGAACGTGAAGAAACCCAGCAATAAGAAGCTGAGGCTTATCATGAGATTCCTAAGGTTTTCCACTTGAAAGAGGAGATAGCTTTCAGGCTCAAAGCAATAGCAAAAGTGGTTTTTGGTGACAAACTCCGGAGAACAAAGAAAGGACCTACAAGAGAAGGAGCGAGCCTTATTTATCTGCCAGGCACAGGGTGCAAAGTCAGCCCCGATCATTACTTCTCCATGAAGCTTTCATTTTCCCTTTCTATGCCATTCTCTAACCTGATCAGAAAATGCCTGGCAGGTATGGGGGAGTGGGGAGGGAAGCATCAGTAGGAGAAAGAAGAATCCACCACCTTTGCAGCTGTCAAGATGAGGGAGGGGAGACCTGAAACTGAATAAAGTTTGGTGTGTAGACTAAATCCTGGTATAGACATTTTGACTTCAGAATCAAGACTTTTAAAGTTATTACTTAATATCTATTACCTGTCGATTATGTAGGCTTGAGCAGAAAATGCTGGGGATTACTGAAGTTTTTAAATAGTAACAGTGTAGGTTTATCTCCTTAAATAATTGTAATTGGAGTGAGAGATAAATAATAACGATAAGTTGGCTGTTGGTAATATAACAGTTGTCCCCGTTCAAATATCAGTGCCAGAACTAAAGATCCATTCACGACAAACAGAAGGTGCCTATAGAAGGTGGTGGGAAGCTGGAGTGCCTTCTAAAGAGGGGCTTGAGCCATCTTCGATCCCCTGTGGAAGCAGGGATCTTGAGATAATGGGGAGTCTCTGTATTGATGGAGAAAGAGCTCAGGAACTAACAGCGAATTGTTTTCACCCAAAGATGGAGCCCGAGGGAGCACCCGTGGCATTCTCATTACCATGACAAACATTAGCTATGCCTTGACCTTCTTCCTGCTCCCCTTCTCCAACCCCAGGATGGGGAGAACTGATGAAGGAGTCTTTCCAAAACCTTAGAGTGAAAGCATTGTCTGAATTCCACATTGACGATGCACTTTCAATAGTAGTTTTAAATCAGGCTCAGGTTAACACAATGAGGTAATGATTAAGATACAAATGCACGGTTACTGAGTTCTGTGACAAATCACCTGGATTTCTTCCTCTCTCACTCTTGCTCACAGTGGCAGCAATTATGACTGCCATCCCCCAAACTTCCTTCTTCACTCCTTACCTCCCACCCTCTCCAGAGAGTTGCTTTGTTCTGATACCTTTCTCAGAATGATCTTATTTCCTGGCTCTGCTCTTCCAAAGCACTCTTTTCTTCTGACTTAGAGTAGGCAGAAAGAAAAAGTAAGGGTTTTGTGGAGCCAAAAAAATGAGGATGTGAATCTACTCTTCCTGACTATAGAAAGGGAAGCGTCAGGCATCAAAATGTGTGATGATTGCATGCCCAATGCGTTGGTACAAGAAAGCTGGCCTGTGGAAGCAACAGAGTCATGATGTGGAGCTCTCTCCCTTGGAGAGCACACTGCAGTGGGAAGAGAGCAGGCTTTGGAAATGAAACACCCATGTTGGAATTCCAGCTCTGACAAAGATTAGATACTGTACATTATTGCACTCAGCCATTCATTACTACAAGACAACTTCCTAAGGCACCTGCTGTGTGTGGATTCCTTGGGGGTCATTGATCCAGGAGACTACTGCTGCCCTCAGGCAACTCTTAGCATGGTGGGCGACATGGACATTGTGGCAAATAACTTGACTGCAGTGTGACTAGCACAAGGATGGACACAGGTGGAGGTCTTCCTGCGATCCATGTGCGGAAGGAACACCCTTCACTGAGGCAGAAGTAGAGGATGAATGTGGGCTCACTGGCTGCACATTGGGCTGAGTGGAAGACATGCCAGGTGTGTGTTAATCCACAGAGGATGGGATGGCAGGGTACATCTGAAGGAGTATGAATTGTTCCATGTGAACTAGCATGGGGTAGTGATGGGAAAAGGTGGGAGGTGAAGGTGGAAAGGGAGACAGAAGCAAGACCATGAGATCTTGGGGGCCTTATAAGCCAGGCTAAGGAGTTTTATCTTGCATACAGTGAGACATGATCATATTTACGTTTTAGAAATATTTCTCTGAAGGCAGGATCTAAAGAAAGAAATTGAAGCCAAGAGAGGGAAGGTAGGATATTATTGCAACTGTTCAGGTGAAAGAAGATGAATTCTTGAGCTAAAGTGGGAATGGAGAGATGTCCTAAGTGAGTTCCTCAAAAAGCAGAGTGGGAGATGATTTGAGTGCAAGTAGTTTATGTGGCAGAGTACAGGAATAGGATAGTAAGTCAAGGAAGTGGCAGAAGGAAGGAAGCCAAGAGAGGATGCAAAAATGATGAGGAGACCACTGTGGAATTGCAGCCAAGTTCTGCTGGGACCCTGTATAGAAGGTACTAAGAGTTGTCCCATTCAAATAGGGGAATTGGGGGGCATTTATTCATCAACTCCCATCCACCATTGGTTGGGAACCTCTCTTAAGGGCATTAACCCCCCCAACACTTTAGGCTCGCTATTTACATATGCAGAATAGGCTTCTGAAGAAAATAGAAGTACTCAGACAGAGAACTGCTAGTGCTTAAAGTCAGAAACCATTGACACATCCAGAATGATGAGTGCCAAGAGGATACAGGCAGGGCACCAACAGTGCCTGCTGTAGGAGGCAGCTTATGGGGAAAAAGCAGACATCCCACAAGAACAGAATAATGTAAGCAGAGATGAAAGTTTTAAGAAGAAATAAAAAGAAATACTAGAGATTAAAAACCAATTCTATTTTCATAGAAATGAGGAATATTCTGATAGGCTCGTTAGTTGACTGAAAACAGCAGAGGAAAGAACCTCGAGCTTGAGAATATATCAATGGAAACCTCTAAAATGAACAACAAAGAGAAAAAAAACTGAAAATAAATAACAAAATATCTAAAAACTGTGGAACAACTATAAAAGGTATAAGATACATATAACGGGACTACCAGAAGGAGAAGAAAGGGAGAAAGGAATAGACGCAATATTTAAAGTAATAACTCCTGAGAATTTTCCCAAATTAATGTGAGACACAGTTATAGACTGAATTGTGCCCCTCCCTGTAAATTCATATGTTGAAGTCCTAACTCCCATTGCATTTGGAAATAGAGCCTGCAAGGAGGTAAAACAAGTTAAACAAGGTTTCAAGGATGGTTCTGTAACCCAATAGGATTTACGTTTTTATAAGGAGAGGAAGAAACACCAAAGATCTTACCCTTTTCTTTTTCTTCCTGCAGATGCACAGAGAAGAGGCCATATGAGGATATGGCAAGAAGGCGGTTGACTACGAGGAAGAGAGGCCTCATCAGAAACCAATTCTGACAGCACCGTGATCTTGACATTCTAGCTTCCAAAACTGTGAGAAATTAAATTTTTGTTGTTTAAGGCACCCAGTCTGTGGTACTTTGTTATGGCAGCCTGAGCAGACTAATACAGATGCCAAAGCACAGATCCAGGAAACTCAGAGAACACCAGGCAGGATAAACGGGAACAAAAACAAAAACTCAACTAGCCATGTTACAAACTGCCAAAATTCAAAGGTAAAGAAAAAAATCTTAAAAGAAGCTTGAGGGAAAATACACTGTACTTTTCAGAAATCATGCAAGTAAGGAGAGAGTGGAATTAAATTTTGAAAGTGTTGAGAGAGAAAAAAATATGCCTCCAACCTAGAATTCTATATCCTGTGAAATTATCCTTTAAAAGCTAAAGGGAGGCCAGGCGTGGGGGCTCACACCTGTAATCCTAGCACTTCGGTAGGCCAAGGCGGGTGGATCACCTGAAGTCAGGAATTATAGGCCAGCCTGGCCAACATGGCGAAGCCCTGCCTTTACTAAAAGTACAAAAATTAGCTGGGCATGGTGGCACATGCCTGTAATCCCAGCTACTAGGAGGTGAAGCAGGAGAATCGCTTGAACTCAGGAGGCAGAGGTTGCAGTGAGCCGAGATCGTGTCACTGCACTCCAGCCTGGGTGAAAGAGTGAGACTCTCTCAAAAAAAAAAAAAAAAAAAAAAAAAGTAGATGGAAAATGGCCTTCTCACACAAACCCTGAGAAAATTTTTTGTCTTGCAAGAAATGTTAAATGAGCTTCCTCAGAGAGAAAAAAAGTGATGTAGGTCAAAAACTTGATTCTACATGATTAATGAAAGAGTATTAGAGAAGAAATAAATGAAAGTAATTACAAAGTTTTATTTTTGTTCTTAATTGATCTTATAGCGGTTTGTTCAAAATAATAACAGGAACTAGATATATATGCTTGTTAGCATTGTGAAATGCTGTGTATTAGCATTGGGAAACAAATGACAGCAAAGATAGAAGGAATGAGAGGGAAGAATTAGCAATATTTTGTTCTTATATAGTATTTACAGTAGCCATGAAGTGGTATAGCGTTATTTGAAAGTGGACTTGGATTAGTTGTAAATGTATGTTGCAAACTCTAGGGAAACCATTAAAAAAAAAGTAAGAAAATGAAGTATAATTGCTATGCTAAGAAAGGAGGGAAAATGAAATTATATAAAATGTTTAATTAAAACTACAAATGGCAGAAAAAGAGTAAAAGACAAAAGTAGAAACAAAAGAAGCTGGACAATGAATGAAATACAGTAACAAATATGATAGATATTAATGCAAATATACTAATAATTACTTTAAACATTAATAATCTAAATACCAATTAAAAGATGAGGATTGTTAGAGTGGGCCACAACACAAAACCCAATTACATATTGTCCACAGAAACACACTTTAAATTTAGAGATACATATAGATTAAAATTAAAGGTATAGAGAAAGATATGCCAATATGCCATGCCAGCACTAAACAAAAGAGACCAGGAGTAAATATATGAATTTTGGATACAGCAGACTCCTGAGTAAGGAAAATTATCTGAGATAAAGAAGGGCATTCACAATGATAAAGCAGTCAATTCTTCAAGAATACATAATCATCCTATGCATGCCCCCACTAGCAAGGCATCAAAATATGTGAGACAAAAATGGGTAGAACAGCAAGTAGTAATGGATGACTTCACTGTTATGGTTGGAGAGGTCAACACCTCTCTATTATGAACTAACAAATGCAGCAGGCAAAAAATAAGGATATAGCAGAACTCAATATCACCATCAATGAACAGAATATAATTGACCTCTGCAGACTGCTGTATCCAATAACTGCAGAATACACATTCTTCTTGAGATCACATGAAATATTCACTACTTTAAACCACATTCTGGGTCATAAAACACATCTTAACAAATTTAAAAGAATGAAAATTATGCAATATATGATTTCAGAACTAAACTAGAAATCAGTAAATGAAAGACAGTCCAAAAATCCCCAAATACATGGAGATTAAAAAACACACTTCTAAAAAATGCACGAGTCCAACAAGAAATCTAAAGAAAAATTTAAAAACATTTTGATCTAAATGAAAAGGAATATACAACTTATCAAAATTTGTGGAATGCAGTGAAAGCAGTGCCTTAGAGGCAACTTTATAGTATAGAATACATGCATTAGAAAAGACAAAAGATCTGAAATCAATCATCTAAGCTCCCACCTTGGAAAACCAGAAAAAGAAGGGTGAATTAGATCCAAAATACACCGAAAAAGAGATAGAAAAATCAATAGAGAAAATCAATGAAACTAAAAGCTGATTCTTTGAAAAGATCAATAAAATGGATAAACTTGAAGCCAGGCTAACTTAAAAAAGAAGGGAAAAGACACAAATTACTATCAGAAATGAAAGAGGAGATGGATATCACTACAAATCCTCAAATCCTATGAACACCAAAAGGATGATAAAATATGAACAACTCTGCCTACAGATTTGATAATCTAGATGAAGTAAACCAATTCACTGAAAGATACAATCTGCCAAAACTCACACAGGAAGAAACAGACAATCTGGATAGGCCTAAAGATACGAATCAGGCCAAGTGTGATGGCTCATGCCTGTAATCCTAGCACTTTGAGAGACTGAGGTGGGAGGGTCATTTGAGCCCAGAAATTCGAGACCAGCCTGGGTAACATAGAGATACCCCATCTCTACAAATAATTTTTGAATTTTAGCCAAACATTGTGGCTATAGTTCCAGCTACTCAGGAGGCAAGAATGGGAGGATTGCTTGAGCCTGGGAGGTCAAGACTGCAGTGAACCATGATTGCACTACTGCATTTCAGCCTGGGTGACAAAGTGAGACTCTGTCTCCAAAAAAGAGAGAATATACATGAATTAGTAATTAATAACTTTCTAATACCAATAATACCCTAGATGGATTCACTGGTGAATTCTATCCAACATTTAAGAAATAAATTATATCAATTCTTTTCAATCTGTCTTAGAGTTCAAAAGCAGAATTCTAACTCATTCTGAGATCAGCATTGCCTTGATACCAAGACTGGACCAAAACATTATAAGAAAGGAAAACTAGAGACCAATATGTCTCATGAACATAAATGCAAAATCCTCAACAAAATATTAGCTAATTGAATTCAATAATGTAAAAAAAATTATGCATCAAAATCAGTGGGATATATTCCAGGTATGCAAGGCTGATTCAACATTTTAAAATCAATTACACAATTTATCACACCAATAGGTTAAAGAAGAAAAATAACATAATTATATCAATAGATGCAGAAAAAATTTTGACAAAATTCGTTATGAATTCATGACAAAAATTCCAGCTAACGTAGTACTTAATGGTGAGAAACTCAGCCCTTTCTCACTAAGATTAGGAACTAGGTAAGGAGGTCCCCTTTTACCATACCTTTTTAACATCATATTGGAAACCCTAGCTAATGCAATAAAACAAGATAAATTGGTAAAAGGTATATATATTTAAAACTGTCTTTATTTGGAAATGATGTAGAAAATCTGAAAATGATGTAGAAAATCTGAAAAAAATCAGAGAAAATACTCCTGGAACTAATAAGCAATTACAGCAAGGTTATAAGATATAAGATTAATATACAAAAGTCAATTACTTTCATATACGCCAGCCATAAACAAACGAAATACAAAATTAAAAATATGATGTTATTTACACTGGCACCCCAAAAATGAAATACTCAGGCACAACTCAAACAAAATATACACAAAAACTGTATGAGAAACTACAAAACTGTGATGAATAAAATAAAAGAACTAAATAAATGGGGGGACAGTACATGTTGATGGATAGAAAGATTCAATATTGTCTAGATATCAATTTCCCCCAACTTGATCTTTAGATTCAGCACAATTCCAATGAGAATCTCAACTAGCTTTTTTGTGGATATTGACAAACTGATTCTATGGAGAGGCAAAGGGCCTAGAATAACAAAATCAGAGGATTGAAACTACCTGACTTTGAGACTTACTGAAAAGAAATAGTAATCAAGACAGTGTGGTATTGTTAAAAGAATAGACAAATAGGTAAATGGAATAAAAAGGAATAGAATAGAGAGCCCAGAAGTAGACGTAAATATAGTAAAGTAGCTTTTGATGAAGGAGCTAAGGAAATAACAGTGGAAAAATATTTTCTTTTCAACAAGTGATGTTGGAATAAGTGGACATCCACGTGCAAACATATGAATCTAGACACAGACTTTCCTTACACTTTTCACAAAAATTAGCTCAAAGTGAATCATATACCTAAATGAAAAATACAAAATTATCAAATACCTAGAAATAACATAGGAGAAACCTTACGTGACCTTAGTTATGGCTATGACATTTTAGATACAGTAATTTCCCCCTTACCTGAGGTTTCACTTTCTGTGGTGTTAGTTACCCGCAGTCAACAATGGTCTAAAAATATTAAACGGACACATCCAGAAATAAACAACTCATAAGTTTTAAATTGCCTGCTGTTCTGAGTGGCATGATGAAATCTTGTGGTGACCTGCTTGGGACGTTAATCATCCCTTGGGTTAGTGTATCCACACTGTATACATTGCCTGACCCTTATTTGTCAACATGTCTGCTCCTGACATCCAACCATCGACATCATGGCTCAACAATCCAAGATCTCCTGAAGCATATGATCCTCCTTGTGATGTACTGTCAGAAGGTCAGTGGTACCCTAAGTCTCTGTCACAGTGCCTAACTCATTCACCTCACTTCATTTCATCACATAGACACTTTATCACCTCACATCATCACAAGAAAAAGAAGTAGAGTACAATAACATCCTTTGAAAGAGACAGACATTAATATAACTTTTATTTCAGTATATAGTTATATTTGTTCTCTTTTATCATTAATTACTATTGTTAACTCTTACTATACCTAATTTATAAATTAAAATTTATCATAGATATGTATTGAATAGGAAAAACATGTAGTAATATATGGGTTTCAGTACTATCTATGGTTTCAGCATCCACTAGGGGTCTTGGAATACATCCTCCACAGGGAAGGGTGAACTACTGCACTACACTAAAAGCATGATTCATGAAAGAAATACGTAATTGACAAGGTGGACTTCACTAAAACAGTTCTGCTCTGTGAAGGGTACTGTGAAAGACACTGTCCAGAAAATGAGAAGATAAGCCATAGACTAAGAGGAAATATTTGCAAAAGACATGCCTGATATAGGATCATTATCCAAAATACAGTAAGAACTGATAAAACTCAGCAATAAGAAAATAAACACTCTCACTAAAAAATGGGTAAAAGACCTGAAGAGATACCTCATCAAAGAAGATTTAAATGGCAAGTAAACGTATGAAAAGATACTGTACATCATGTGTCATCAGGAAAGGGCAAAGTAAAACCACGGTGAGACACCAGCCTATCCCTATTAGAATGCTCAAACTTCAGAGCCCTGACAGCAGCAACTGTAGTGAGGATGTGGAGCAACAGGACCCCTCACTGGCTGTTGATGGGAATACAAAATGGTACAGTCATTTCGGAAGAAAGTATGTCAGTTTCTTACAAATCTAAACATACTCTTACCATATAATCCAGCAATCAGACTTTTGGGTATTTACTCAAAGGAGTAGAAAAATTATGTCCACATAAAAACCTGCATATGTATGTTAATAGGTTTATTCATAATTGTCAAACGTGGCAGCAGCCAACATATCCTTCAGTAGATGAATGGATAAACTGTGATACATCCATACAATGGAATATTGTTCAATTCAATCTAAAAAGTATATATACTGTATGATTCCAACTATATAATATTCTGGAAAAGGCAAAACTATGGAGACAATAAAAAGATCAGTGGTTTCCAAAGAGTGGGAGGAAAGAAGGGATCAACAGACAGAGCACAAAGGACTTTTAGGACAATAAAACTATTCTCTGTGATACTATAATGGTATGTACATGGCATTATACATCTGTCAAAACCTATAGAATGTATAACAACACCAAGAGTGAACCCTAATGTAAACTATGGATGGTTATGGTGGGTCATAATGGTGTGTGATGTAGGTTTATGGATTGTAACAATGTACTACTCTGGTGTGGGATGTTGATGGTGAGGAAGGCTGTGTGTATATGTGGGGGCAAGGACATAATGGGACCTCTGTACTTTCTGCCATTTTGCTGAACCTAAAACAGCCCTATGAAATGAAGTACACTAAAGTAAAAATATAGAATAAAATAAAATAGGCACAGTACTTGAATAGACATATCCCCAAAGAAGATATATAAATAGCCAATAAGCACATAAAAAGGTGCTCAACATCATTAATTATTAGGGGAATGCAAAGCAAAATCACAAGATACTACTTCACACTCATTAGGATGGCTATTATTAAAAACAAAACAAAATAAAAAAGCAGAAAATCAGAAGCATTGGTGAGGTTGTGGAGAACCTGGAACTCTTGCACATTGCTGATGGGAATATAAAATGGTGCAGCCACTGTGGAAAATGGTATGGTGTTTCCTCAAAAAATTAAACACAGAATTACTGTGTGATTCAGCACTTTCACTTCTGGGTATAAAACCAAAAAAATTGAGAGCAGGAGATTGCACAGATATCATATATCCATGTTCATAGCATTATTCACAATAGCCAAGCTGTGGAAGCAACCCAAGTGCCCGTGAACAGATGACTGGATAGACAAAATGTGGCACATACACAAAACGGAATATTGTTCATCCTTAAAAAGGAAGCAAATGCTGGCACATGCTCCAACAGGAGTGAACTTTAAAAGCCTTATGCTGAGTGAAATATCAGTATTTCTCTGAACAAATATTGTATAATCCCACTTGTATGAGGTACCTACAGTAATCAGAATCATAGAAACAGAAAGTAGATTGGTGATTGGGAGAGGCTGGGGGAAGATGGAAATGGGGAGTTAGTGTTTAATAGATACGAAGTTTTAGTTTGGGAAGACAAGAACTGTTCTGCAGGTGGATGGATATTGGTGACGGTTGCACAACAATGTGAAAGTGCTTAACGCTACAAAATTGTACACTTAAAAACAATTAAAATGGTAAATTTTATGCTATGTATATTTTACCACAATAAAAAAATGAGCATTTTTGTCCAGAGATAAGGGATACAAGAAAAATATAAAATCAGACACACATACATACATATACAATATATGAAGCCAAGGCTTAAAGAAAGCTAGAAATGTTTATTTACAAATGGAAGATATAATAACACTATAAAACTTTGTAGACAAACCAAAAAAAAAAAAAAAAATGATGAGTAAGTGATGTCTGTTCCAGGAATGAAAGAAAGAACACTGTAAATGTCAGCTCTCTTTCTAATTTTGATGTGTTAAGTTTTGTATAATGAAATTGTATTCAAAATGCCAAAAAAAGGGAACCAAACATTCACCTAGAAAGAAAAAAAAATTAGAAAAATAATAGTCAAGAAAATGTCAAAAAAAAAAAAAAAAGAGAGAAATGGGTGTTGATTGGCTTACCCTACCAATTCAAAGTACTTAAAAAAATTACAGTAATGAAAGTATTGTGGTTCTAATGCATGAAGTTATAGTTGGAAGAATGAAATATAAATGTGGGAAAAACTACATGGTAAAACACTCTTAATGTACAGTTTAGTTTGTTTAAAAATATTTATATATTGGGTACAGTGACTAACGCCTGTAATTTCAGCACTTTGGGAAACTGAGGCAGGTGGATCACCTGAGATCAAGAGATTGAAACCAGCCTGGTCAACATGGTGAAACTCTGTTTCTACTAAATATACAAAAAATTAACTGGGTGTGGTGGCACATGCCTGTATTCCCAGCTACTCAGGAGGCTGAGGCAGGAGAATAGCTTGAACCTGGGAGGCAGAGGTTGCAGTGAGATGAGACACGCCATTGCACTCAAGCCTGGGCAACAAGAGTAAAACTTCATCTTAAAAAAATTTTTATATGTAAAAGAAGGAAAGAAAACATAAAAAGTATCAACAGTAATTATCTGCAGTTTGTGAATTGCCCATAATTTTTATGTTCTTTTGTTTATTTGTCTGTATTTTGGAAGTTTTCACCTATGATCAGTATAAATTTTACAATCAAGAAAAGACGCCATTTTCAAAAAAGAAAAGGAAACACTACTGCCAGCCCCAGAATCCACTTGTCTGGACGGCCTGACCACTAGCCTTGCCTGTAGTCCTATCCCCTGAAACAGCTTTGTGGTCTTTTCCGTATACGCCTGCTCCCACATCTAACTTGATGTGTGGGCAGAAACAGAACAAAATGCTGATCTTGAGGAAACACTGGGAGATACTATCAGGACGAAATTAAGAAGTAATTTTAAATAAAGATTGGAGGGTTTGTCAACAAATTGGACAAAATCCAGAGAGGAACCAAGGAATGACTGAAGACCTGAGGCTGCAGACTGGATACGAAAGTAGAGATGAAAAGAAAATGTGTTTAACTTGGCTAGACTGTAAGTGGAGACTTAAAAACAGTACTGGAGCCCAATCAAACCACCATTAGCAACTGCCAGGCAGATCCCCATCCTGAGTGACCCTGAAAGGTCAGAACAAACTCTTAAAATTTCCAGTGCTTTTTAGTTCAACCTGAGGTTAAAGACCGTATCTTCCCCACAGTATAGATTGCTTTTGCATGTACGCCAAGGGCCTGTCTTCATTGCACATTAAAGATGCAAAGATAGCATAAAGAATAGAAGTCTGAGGGCCTCTCCAGAGGTTCCTGGTGACAGAAGATGCTGACATAGCCAGACTGGACCAGATTTTTTTTTTCCAACTTTGCACAGCACAAATGCCCTAATTAAATGGCTTATTTTTCCTGTGGCTCACTTTACCTGCTTGTTTTGTATTTATTCGGGAATACAGACATTCAGAAAGAATGATGACAGAAAAAAAAGAGAAACAGCGTTACCCAGAAAAAATGAGGCCAAGAGAGTTCCTGAGAGACACCCAGGGCGGCACCCAGAGGGAGAGAATGGCTGCTAACCAGCCAGAAACTTGGAAACTAGATTGAGAGAAAGGCGGGAGCAGAGAGAAAGGTACAGGCAGCCAGAAAGAAAGAGGAGGAAGGAGAAGGCCCCGTGATCTGTCCTGGGACGGGAGCAATAGGGAATCTTGACTCATTTGTACTTGTCAGACTATTTAAAGGAGAGCAGAGCTCTGTGGCGAGGCAGCACTGTTTATTTTTAAGATGCCAGTGTATTTTGGTAACAGAAAGGAAAAAAGAGCAAAAGGAAAGTGAGAATGAAGCTAGGGAGCCCTGCACTGACTCTTGAGAGGCTCTCAAAGAAAGGCTGTGGTATCCCTTGCATTGGAGTAGCTGCGTTAGTCTGACTCTGGCCTCCTAGGTGCCTTGGGCTCTGCCTAGCGAGGAGGGGCAGGGCTCCTGAGACTTGTTCCCTCTTCTTCCCATGAATGATGCTTTACAGGGGGGAAAGAGATTGTCAGGGATTGTCAGTTCAGTTTTGTCAATTCTTGCTCTGGCTGCTTCATGCTCAGGGACTTAAGCTCTGTCAGAAAGGCACAGACAGAGGAGCCTTTGCAAATTTAGGTGAAATCTCTTTTTCTACCTGGTCTCATACTCAAAGATGCTATAAGACTCCATATCTGTTGGGCTGAGAATCTGGACTTCTCTGGCATTCCACAGACATGCATTCATGGCCTGTGTTCCTGCTTCATTCTCATCTTGCTTGGTTAGGGACATGCCTCTAAAGTCATACAATATAATAAATATTTTCACTCTCTTGCCTTTACTTGGTTGGATTGCAATACAAAAATCTCTTAAGGAAGAAGGTTAAACATTTCCAAACTCACCTTGGTTAATTTTTCACTTATAGAAATATTTTAACACCATTGGAATTAATGTCTTGTCAAAGTGACGGAGACACATGGTAGAAGACAACAGTATGTCGTATCATATAAAAATACAGATCTATGATATTGACTCTAAGTATGATGTCTGTATCCTCTTTACTAGAGATGCCCATATATGAAGATCAGTTGAGATATTTGCTTGCTCTTGGAAGTAAATTTTTGTGGATTTAAATATAAGTTCTTTTGAAATATGATGCATTTATGCATAAATTTGCAGTTAAATAAATATACTTGTATTGGAGATGTAGTCTCAGTGATAGAAATGAAAGACCTAAAACATTTGGTTACCACTCTTGTGGACTGTGGTATACGACAAGAGTTCTTTGAGCATCGCACTTAAGAATAAAGTCACAAAGTGGGGCAAGGCTGGACGAAACATGTCTGAACATCAGAATCACCTTGGTAACACTGAAAAAAATACATAGTCTTGGACTTTATCCAGAATCATTGTATTTGAATTCCATAATGAGACCTAGAAATCCATATTTAAAAAAATTTTTTTCTGCATGCACTCTCATTATGAACAATGGGGCTGGAGAACGTGTTGTTTTCCTGCCTCTAGTAGCTGAAGATGTTCTAAAGAATGATTACTCAAACAGGGCTAATTGTGTCTTTTAGTGGCAACTAAATTGATTGCTTACATATGGACTTCAGTCATTTTTTCCCAACACTGATTACCATTTCTATCTGATAACTCTAGAATTACACAATCAGTTGCATAGCAGGTACACTTTGGAGGTTTACTTTAACAAAGGTATCACATTGATTCTGTTGGTATTTTTCACCATGTCAGTTTTATTAGGGTGAGTTAATGTGAAAATATACCTGTTTTTGAAGGTGAATATTATTTCAAACATTTGTAAGACATGGTACTTCAGAAACTCTCTGAGGTCACAAGACATTTAAGTTTCATGGTATTGTTTTTGCATAAAAGCATAGTTGCTAACTCTTCCTTAATACATTTATTTTAGGATATTCTTGAGTATTTTGAGACAGAACAGGAATATAGAAAAAGGAGGAGGAAAGTGGAGGAGAGGTGGGGGAGGTTGTGGGAATTCCAAATAATGCTCCCAGTCAGTGGGTCTCACTGTGGGTTGTACTCAGACTGCAGGTTGGAAAGCAGAGGAAACACAGCCATTGACTCATTGTCACCAATTCTGAGTAAGTCTTTTGACCTTTCGATGTCTTAGCGAATGAATCCAAAAGGAAAGATACAGTGGGGAAAAAGTTACTCGGTCAAACTGGTCATGAGGTCTCCTAGGGAAATACAGGATGATAATGGGATTGAGAGTTCCTGTGACCTTCTGTGGCTTCTTTAGTCTGGGGAGTCATTACCATCCCAGCAGGCAACCCTGTCATTTTTGCTTTGTGGTAACAAGGAAAAAGACTTTGATGTGTAAATGTGGGATCACTGTGTGAGCTAAAAAAAGAATAGTCATCTCAACCCCTACCCACCAGCTCCAGGTTTTTCCAGAACAAATGGCAGAGAGGTTTCCATATGGTCAGGTTTTTTAAAAAATCAACTTTATTTTACCCATTTTAAGCTCCTAGCTTGAAGAATTTCAACCAATGCATACACCTGTATAACTGCTGACACAATTAAAATATAGAATATATTTTTCACCCCCAAAAGTTTCTTTGGGTCACTTCCCAGGAAATCCCCCTCCATTCCCAGACCCAGTCAGCCACTAATCTTTTTGTCATTGTAGACTCGATTTGTCTCTCCTAGTTTTGTATACATACAGCCACACAATATCTATTCTTTCATGTCTAGTTTTCTTTAACTCAGCGTACTGATTCTGAGATTCATCTATGTAGTTGCATATATCAGTAGTTTGTATCTTTTTATGACTGAATAGTATTCCACTGTATGATTGTCTGACCATTTGTTTATCCATTCACCTGTCAATGGACATTTGAGCTATCTCTAGTTGAGAAAATTTATTCTTATAAATAAAGCCATCGCAAAAACTTATGCACCAATCTTTGTGTGGGCATACATTTTTGTATCTCTTGAGTAAATATCTCAGAAAGAAACGCTGATGTTTGTGCTAGGTGTTTGGTCAACTTTAGAAGACTGCCAAATAATTTTTTCTAAGTGGCAACACCATTTTATTTTTCACTAGTAATGTATGAGGGTTCCAGTATCTATGTATCTGCTCCAACACTTGCTATTACCTTTCTTTTTAATTTTACCCATCATTGGGTGTGTGTAATGGTATCTCATTGTGGTTTAACTTTGCATTTCCCTAATGACTAAGGAAGTTTAGCACTTTTTCAAGTGTTAACCGGCCATTTGATTACCCATGGTGTCAGTTTTAGAAACAGAACCATTTTATCAAAAGGGAAGAAATTGTCTACTGTGTGCTGTCTGTGGCTCTCTACCTGTCAGCAAAGGACAAAGAGGCTCCACTACTCCACTGACTGGTGCTGAGAATGACCTAAGGTTTATCCAAAGGCAATGGTCTATATGCTGCCACAATTTCCTTCCATGAGGGATGACAGCAAGCCCTCACCTCTGCTACAACCTTTCTTACCACTTCACCTTTCCTTCAAGGTCACTTGTGGCCTTTTAAGCAACCCCTCCCCACTCCCCTCTTTTTTTTTCTCCGTCAGGCTTCCCTTAGTATTTTATCTGGATTCTCTGACGTTCCAGAAACATGCATTCATGGCCTGTGTTTTTGCATTTCCCTAATGACTAAGGAAGTTTAGCACTTTTTCAAGTGCTTATCAGCCATTTGATTACCCATGGTGTCAGTTTTAGAAACAACCTTTTTATTAAAAAAGGAAGAAATTGTCTACTTTGTGCTGTCTTCCTTCTACCTGTCAGCAGAGGAAGAAGAGGATTCACTTGTGAAAACACCTGGTTTTGTAAAAGCAGCTCCCCAAGATCTGCTCTGGTTGATCCACTCACCACAGTCTACATCTCTGAGATGGCTCTTCCTCTGATGACGCTCATCACAGCCTCCAGTTGTGGCTGTGGTGAAGTGTCACCCACATTCCCTGCTTTGGATCGACACCTTCAGTTCTCCAGCTGGTGGAGACATTGCCTGCTGACTGCTCACAATTTAGTCTCTACTCTGGAATTGCCATCAGGTGAAAGAAGTGACTTTGTCCTATGATGTGTCACCTCTTTGAGGGTTGCTGCATGCAATATAGAGAATGAAAATTTCATACAGAGATAAAACGTTTCAGCCTTCTTTCCATACTTCAGACATCTTTGAAGAGGTTTATTAGCTTCAGATTTCCTGTGGAATGAATTGAGGCCAATGTTGCTAAGGCATTGGAGTTCACCTTATCCCTCAGCCTAGTCCTGTTTCCATTTGCCTACAAATCTCTGTCTTACAGAGGGTTTTTCTGGGTGTGAAAATTTCCAGGGGCAGCAATAACAAATTACTACAAACTAGGTGGCATAGGACAACACAAGCATATTCGCTCATAAATGCAGAAGGCCAGAAGTCTGGGGTCAAGGTGTTGTCAGGGTCCATTTCTTTCAGAGACTCTGAGGTAGAATCCCTTGCTGACCTCTTTTCTAACTTATGCTTGTCAGCAATTATTGGCCTTCCTTGCTTGGCTTGTAAACACATCACTCCAATCTCTGCTCCTGTCTTCACATCATCTTCTCCTTTGTGTGCTTCTTAAATGGACGCTTGTTGATGAATTTTGGGCCCACGTAGGTAATCCAGGATGATCTCATCTCAAGACTCTTAAATTAATGACCTTGGCAAGACTGTTTTTGCAAGTGAGGCCATGTTCACAGGTTTTGAGCAGACATATCTGTTGCTGTTTTTGCTAGTACAGTTGTTGGCAGGGGCCTAGGGAGTGTATTTCAAAACGGAGTTTGGGAGCTGGATCAAACCACCAGCTGGCCAGCAACAAAGACCCTCTCACTAGGGGTGAATGGAGTACTGAATGCCTCTGGGGTGCAGTGGGGAGAGGCAATTGTTTAAACTGTCACTGTAGTGAATTGGGATGGGAAAGAAATACACTGGCAGGAACCTCAGAAGTTCAAGTAAACTAGCAGCTATAAGGACTATGGGACCCAGTGAATATTATCTTGGGAAAAGACAATGAAAGCCTGGCAGTGATTAATCACCGATTTAAGGTGAAATGTGAAAACCAATTATTAGGTGGGGAAAGGGCTACTGTTACCTAATAGAGGTAGACATGAGCACACCTGGCACCAACACGACCCATTGGGAACATTTCTTGATATCCTCCTGCCCATTTTTTTTTCAGTGAATATGTATAGCAATCATTGCCTGTGAGTCTGGGAAATATCCAGGTAAGCCACCTAGACTAGAAAAGGTGCTAGCCATGAGCAAAAGGAATGTAGAACAGACACAGAGGAGGAAGATAATGGGCTTGCAGCCAGATAGTAGTTCATTCATCCCACTAATCTCTCCCATTCATCTTTCTTGTGCAATTTTCCCAAGAAAAGAAACATCCCCATTCATCTTTCTTGTGCAATTTTCCCAAGGAAAGAGGTCATCAAGGATTCTGGAAAGGCTTTATCCAATTGGGGTAAATTTGGCATCTGAAGAAAATGCATCCAGGTTGCACAGGGGTGGGCCATGTTGGATGCTGGGGCTCATCCCCAGACATGTACTTTCTCCAGGATAGAGACACTTCTTCCTCCAGCTGCTGGATGTTACCTGCTGGTGGCTCATGGCTGAGTCCTTCTCCAGAGAAGACCCTTGGTTGAGAGAACAGGTTCATCCAAGGCTATTAACAGTTACTTCCAACTGATTGGATGTGAAGGTACAAAGTCCAGCCCCCTTACTTCAATCTGGGACATTTATGAAGAGCCATCTCAGCTCCAGAGCCCTCTGTGGAACCATCTGAGGACTTGATGCAATTCCACTGCAGTTCACCTTCCTCTGCTCAGTCCTTCTGAGCCTCACTGCCTTACAGCTGCTGCTCTTGAGTGTCTTCCCCCAATAAATACCCTGCTCATTAATAGTGACCTTTGAAACCTATTTCCCAGAGAGTGCATCAATGACACCACTGCTTATTGTGCAAGCTTGTCAATCTAAGCTCTTTTTATATATGTCATCTCTCTAATTCTCAATAATTCTACGACGTCTCTACTATTCATATCCACATTGTACAGACAAGAAATCAGACATCATTTACTGTAGTTCACAGAAATAGTAAACAGCAGTTAGCTTTTCAACCCAGATCTGACTCTAGAACCTGGAGTCTTAACAGCTACCTTTGAATTTTCTAATTTTATGGTACTGAGAGTGTCATATTTATTTGGCATAAATATTTTGTCATGTTCTTGGATGCTTTCCTAAATGATAGTATAGATGTAGCAGATGTACAGGTTAGCTTTGCTGCAGTAACTAACAACCCCAGAGTCTCAGTGGCTGATAAAACAAATACAGTCAGACCTTAGTTTCCATTAATTCTGCATCTATGTATTCAACCAGCCACAGATTGAAAATATTTAGGGAACAAAAATGGATGTTTTTTTCTGCACTGAACATGTACAGACATTTTTCTTGTCATTATTCCCTAAATAATACAGTATAACAACTATTTATTTACATAGTATTTATATTGCATTATATTGTATTATAAATAATCTAGAAATGATTTAAAGTATACAGCAGTACACATACTATGCCATATGGCAGATATGAGCACATTTGGGACCAGTAACCCAATGGGGGCATTTCTTGATATAGATACATTTCTTGGTATAGTAAGTGTTTATAACCTATGAATACCTTATACTTTAAATGATTTTATGTATATATGGACTTGAACATCCATAGATTTTGGTATGCATTGGGGGTCTCTGAACCAGCCCCGCACAGATACCAAGGAACAGCAGTACTGATTTCTTGCTCACATTACCTGTCGGCTGCTCTCAGTGGGCTGTTGTGGCTTTCCTCCACGTGTCTTTTCTTTCTAGGAGCAATGCAAAAGACTCAGCCACTATTTGGGGCATATCCTTTTTATGTTAGAGGGAAAAGGGCAAAAGAGCTGGTGGAAACCTAGGATGGGATATGTTATATTTGCTTACACAAGCATGTTACTCTGTGGGCCCAGAAACAGTGGTGGTGATATATGATCCTCTTACAGGGAAAGTGGAAGTGAACTATTATGAACAATACTGCAGCTGACTGCAGCAGATACCCATGTCAGGGCTGTAGCAACTTAATAATTCATTTTAACCAGTTAAACAGTTTCAATTAATAAATTATTTACGCAACACATCTTAGGTGCTGGGCAATGTTTATGTGCTGAGCTTACCGTAATTGTCACGTGTCTCAGGAACCCATGATCAAGCAGGTGGCTATTTTCTTTGGCTACTTCTCATGGATGTTGTACACCTCAGGGACTCTCTTCCCGCTTTACTGGGACTCTCAGAAGGAATGGTACTGAGCCATCTGCTGACAAAAGCTTATCTAAAAGGGAGCTTGAGAAGAGGCAGGGAAAGCCTCGTTGGTCTCATCCCTTTTGAAAGAAGGCAACACTTTTCAACTTTCTGTTGCCTGGAAGGTAGCATTATGCAGAAAAGATAATGCTATCGGTTTAATCCAAGTGAAGAAAAGGAGTTTCAGGGGTATCCCTCAAGTCAAAACCAAGCAGAGGCTCTGGGTGGAGAGGGGACACAGTAAATAGAGATGCCGTGGAGCTCTACTGGACAAGCTACCGTGATTTTGCAGTAACTCTTGTCCTCCAGGTTGGGGATCCTTTTTGTGACCACAAGAAAGATTTCCTTCCCCTGTGTTTGGGAGGGGTAGGTGAAGGCAGGATGCCTGGATTTGCCGTCACAGAGGAACGCGAAGAATGATAGTGAACTTTTCCTTTTCACAAGACAGACTTTTGGTCTTCTATTTTTGATATGAAAATAGTAATTTGAAAATGCCCTTTCGTTTGCTGTGCTTTCTGTCAAGTTTGGTACCACCATGACCTGATGACCTTAACCTGGCAGGCTGCCAAACTAAATACATCTTGGCCAAGTGCCTGATAGTAATGGAGACCGACATGTGGTGGGAAAGCATCTTATGGATGCTTTTCGTGGAAACAGGCTCCTGAGGAAACTGCAAAAGCCATCCTTTTTTCTTTGCTCCTTAAATCGAAATAAATTAGATCAAATCCATCAGCTTTCTTTTGTTGCGTTTGGTGGAAATTTAAATTCCAAACAGTTTGCTTTGACTAGCAGTGCTTTAAGGAGTTAAAAAAAAAAAAGTTTGTATCTTTTAAGGGAAGTTCCTATATTATAAGAAAGTTCCAAAAGATAGGTTTAAGAATATATGTATATATACTTATAAATACATATATATAAGTTGTATGTAAACATCATTTTTTCATGCTAACCACTCTTCAACTAGCTTTACCAATATTTCTTTGCTACCCTCCCTCAGTTTCTATATAACTGGCTTCATATTTATTTAATTGGGTTTATAAGGTATCTGGGTGCTGTTGGATGAAATAAGTAATTTAAATATTCTGTTAGTACACTTAACCCACCCATGTTACCATAACTACTGCAGGGATCTGGAATAAAGTTAGTGACAGTGGAAAATTCTCTGTTCATTGACTAACGTTAGTCCTATCGGTCTACAGAAATGAATGTTCCCATTTCTATATACACACACCCATATTCCTTTGCCCTAATGCATATACTTTGTTTCAAACAGATTTTCCTCACGTGGAAGATACACATTTGTGATTATTTATACAAATGTCTGCATTTAGGCTCCAGAAAAGACAATGGCATAGGGTCAGCAGCATTGGGATGGCCCATGTGAGCTGCCACCTTTTTCTCTCCATAGATATCAATGTCTATCTTTTTTAAAAAGATGATTGTATATATTGTATTATAATAAATGTATTATATTTTTAATATAATGTCTGTTTTATAACCTGTGTGAGCTGGCTAGAAATACCTTTATTTTGAAATTAATTAATTAAAGTCAAGGAAATACTTTCAGAAAACTGTCAAAGAGGCCGAAATGTCTTAGTCTTTTGACTTAAAATACAAATAATTAGAAGTCAAAATTAATTTTAAAGAAACATATTTTTTTCTAGAACAGGTGTGGTGGCTTATACCTGTAATTCCAGCACTTTGGAAGGCCAAGGTGGGCAGATCACTTGCGGTCAGGCGTTCGAGACCAGCCTGGCCAACACGAGGAAACCTCATCTCTACTAAAAATACAAAACTTAGCCGGACATGGTGGCACATGTTTATAATCTCAGCTACTCAGGAGGCTGAGGAAGGAGAATTGCTTGAACTTGGAAGGTGGAGGTTGCAGTGAGGTGAGATCGCGCCACTGCACTCCAACCCGGGCGATGAGCAAGACTCTGTCGCACAAAACAAACAAACCACACTTTTTCTGAAGACTATTCTTTAAAAGGTAATGGTCAAAAGAAACAAATGTGCAAGGTTTTGTGAGCTTTAACTGGCAAGGGAATATTTTACTCTACTACACAGGATCCTGTTGTCACTTTTCTGCTGGTATGGAGACACCAACTTCACTCAAGTTAGGAGGAGGCCAGCACCCAGCACCATGGAGCCACATGGAGCCTTGATGCAGGCACCATGATGTGTCCCTGGAGAGTGGTTATGATGCATGATTCATATTCATAATAACTTCATTGCTCAGAGAGGCCTTCCTATCAGGTCATCAGGCATTTGCTGCTGAAAAAATCACTTAAGTCAATATTCACATGCAATGTCCATAGGAAAAGAAGTTCAACTCTAGGTGGTGATGCATCTAAGCAAATGGTAATTTTGTGGCTTTCTGAAGAAATCTTTTCAAGTAAAAATAAATAGAAGTCAAAGTGAAACATACCACAATGGTCTTGTTTTCTAGGGTATCACATAATGATTTTTTCTGAAATATTTCGAACTTCTTGGTGTTTAAATAATATGTTATAGTCTTTGGTTCTAATTCAGAAATTCAGCATACTCTTACTTTTTACAACAGCCTAGAGGTATAAATTAATTCATTGTTCTCATTCCCCATTCATCATTTATTCATTCAGAAAAATTTTTTGATTTTCTACTATTTATCAGGCAGTGGAGATACAGTAATAAATCATTCAGACTTAAGAATTACATAAATAAAACAATATTCAGTTGCAAGAAGTGACAATGAGGAAGTGAACAGTCATGTCAGAAGTTAAGTAAGTAAGAGGTGATTGGAGTAATGAAGGCCCATGTCACAGTGTCATAGGGTGGCACAGGATGCCAAGCTAAAGCATGAGAAGGAGTCAGCCATGCAGAGAGCTGGTGGGAAGGCATCCCAGAAGGAGAGAACCATGGCAGAAAGGCTCTGAAAAGGCAAAGAGCTGGGCATGTTCTGGGAACAGAACGGAGCCAATGTGACTGGAGTCTCAGGGGGGAGATGAGGTTGACAGGATGCTTAGATTCTCTTCCAAGTGAAAACCTTACAGAGTTTAGGTAGGAGCATCATGTGATCTGATTTAAATCAGAATCATCACAACATTTAAAGACAGCAGCCACTGGCTTTGTCTACACTACTGAAATCATTGGTCTCCAACTTCCTACAATTTTCTCTTTTGTATCAGATATTTACAAATGTCTGATTCCTTCTATGTGCTCCTAAGTTTCTAGTTCTTGGAGTCTGCTCTCCTCCAGCCTATCATTTGGAACATATCCAGAAGTCTCCCTGATCATATTTTGGTTTCATCCTTTCTGATTCAAGATGTTCTTGCCATCACCTGGAAGAAGCTATTACCCTGTTATTTTTACCATGATATCACCTCTTCAACTGGCTTCACCAATGTTTTTTTTTGCTACCCTCCCTCAGTTTCCATAAGCAAGATGAAAATCATATACTCCTTCCCCTTGTATCCAAGTGTATGGAGTGTGGGGACAGGTAGGGCTGGCTGGTGTGAGGACAGGTAGTTACAGAAGCAACTTTTCCCAGAACATAGGAGAGGTCCAATCCAAAAGCACCCATGTGCATTCTTGCAATTCTAAGACTGCTGTTAAGGATACTCTCAATCTAAGCTTTTAATTTCTGAAAACAAACAAACAAACAAAAAAAACCCTTATATCTGAGAAGCAGCTTATGTGTTTATGGTCCTAGAATAGATGGGGTAGGGAATTTCGGGTGGTGCCAATAGGTGTGCTTACAGTTGCGACAGGGGGTGAAGGCTTTCAGTGATGGTGACATCATGGATTCCCTCTGGGAGGATGGGAGCCCCAGGGAATTTCATCGGTTGTATGAGATTGAAGTCCTGGGAGCTCGTTGCATTTTGTGGGAAAGCAATCTTGGCTCACCATTGCTCTCATCAGAGGGACTTTGTCCCTAGTGCCCACACACACAACATGGATTGAAGTCAGGGAAGCTTGGGTTTGGCTAGACTAGGACTGCCCTGCTCTGCAGTCTTTTCCAACCTTCTGAGGGAGGACATCAGTGGCTCACTCTAGACTTGGACAAACAGAATCAAAAGGGAATATTTTGATTAGAGTTGCCTTAGGAAAAATTATTATAGGGAATTCGTGGAAAAACATTGCTTTCCAATTTCAGAACTACTTGAAATATCTGGTAGGCCAAATATAGAACACTATTCACAGCCTTGCAGGTCCTGAGGTCTGGCTAAATGTGAGCTCTGGGGTGGTGTCTTCCTCCCTCCCCTGCTCCCTCTCTCTCTCTTCCCCCTTTTTCTGCCTCTATGTCTCTCATTCTTTCTTATTTTCTTTATCTCTCTTTCCTAGCTAGCCCTGGATGCTTATCCATGAATGATTATTAAACAAGAATCTTAATTATTGTCCTAGTACAAGCTGTTACTTAGTTTGAAAACCAGTAAGTAATGTTTTTTTTTCCCATTTATTTATTTTATTGTATTTTAGGTTTTGGGGTACATGTGAAGAACATGCAAGATTGTTGCATAGGAACACACGTGGCAGTGTGATTTGCTGCCTTCCTCCCCATCACCTACATCTGGCATCTCTCCCCTTGTTATTTCTCCCCAGCTCCCCACCCCCCACCGTCCCTCCCCTATTTCCCCCCATCTGACCCCAGTGTGTAGTGCTCCCCTCCCTGTGTCCATGTGTTCTCATTGTTCAACACCCGCCTATGAGTGAGAACATGTGGTGTTTGATCTTCTGCTCTTCTGTGAGTTTGCTGAGAATGACGGCTTCCAGGTTCATCCATGTCCATACAAAGGACACAAACTCATCGTTTTTGATGGCTGCATAAGAGGATGTGGAGAAATAGGAACACTTTTGCACTGTTGGTGGGAGTGTAAATTAGTTCAACCATTGTGTAAGACAGTGTGGCGATTCCTCAAGAACCTAGAAATAGAAATTCCATTTGACCCAGCAATCCCATTACTGGGTATATATCCAAAGGATTACAAATCGTTCTACTATAAGGACAAGTGCACACGAATGTTCATTGCAGCACTGTTTACAATAGCAAAGACCTGGAACAGTAAGTAATGTTAATGAAACTTCCCTCTGAAAAATAATAGCAGAAACAAGAGAAAGAATGTCTCACAAACTAAAAGAGCTCACAAATGCATCTTTCAGAAAATGTTTTGAAAAGTTTATAATAATCTAAGGAACTTAATCACCCAACACTCTAGGAATGAGTTACAGAGAAGGTAATTCGAAGGATTTTTCATGTTGGACTGAAAGACCTTGCTCTTTGTGACCCCTAAAGGACATCTGTGTCAACAGAAGGAAGGGAATTGAGACTAGTGTGAATTAAAACTTCTCAACTGGAAGGGGTGTGAGGTCTGAAATTCCCTTCTAAGTAGAATCATCAAAGTATATTATTTGGTGATTTAACTTAACTTTCTCTCCCATTCGTCTTCTTTCTTTTTCTTCCCTCCTTCCTTTCTCTTTCTTTCTTTCTCTTCCTTCCTTCCTTCCTTCCTTCCTTCCTTCCTTCCTTCTTTCTTTCTTTCTCTCTTTCTTTTTCTTTCTTTCCTTTCCTTTCTTTCTTTTCTTTTCTTTTCTTTTCTTTTCTTTCTTTCTTTTTCTTTCTCTTTCTTTCTTTCTCTCTTTCTTTTTCTTTCTTTCCTTTCTTTTCTTTTCTTTCTTTCTTTCCTTCTTTCTTTCCTTTTTCCTTTCTTTCTTTCCTCCTTCCTTTCTTCTTTCCCTCCCTCCCTCCTTCCCTCCTTCCCTCCTTCCTTCCTCCTTCCCTTCCTCCCCTCCTCCCTTCCTCCCTTTCTCTTTTCCTCCCTTCCTTCCTTTCCCTTTCCTTGAGGGAATCAAAAACAAAAATTCGAAGAAAAAAGTGTAGAAATGTATGATCATTCAATCATTCTCTTTTCTCTTCCTTCTCTCATTTTTTGTGAATGTACACAGTTAAATACTATCATCTCCAGTGGTTATGTTCTATAACATCACTGCAAACGCTGAATTAGCAAATATTGAGCTAATTCTGTATTTGCTGGGATAAATACAGAGTTAGGGCTTGTGAACCTCTGGTCATAATATTTTCACCAACAGATCAATCCATAATTTTAAGTATGTTTCTGTTTAATGGCATCTCATCTAACACATACTGTTAGCATTGAACTCATGACCTGTAGTACTATGACTCATTCCTGAATGAAGATAATTTAAGACTTATATTTTCTCCAGAAGACATTTCACAGCTTTCTTGTGTTTAGGATCACTGAACAGCACTTTAGTCCTACGTTTGGGGGACATTTTAAACAGTGAAGTCATGAGGAAAAAGTACAAAAATGCAAAAAATGTGTAATGAAATTGATAGCCAAAAGGACACTTGTTTAAAATATAAGAACTGAAATAAGAAGGTAAAGTATTGCCTTGTTCTCATGCCCATCAAGCTATTTGAATTTTTGCCACTCTGTGCGCGTGTGTAAATGATCATGAATGCACAGAGTATTGACTTGGGAGTTAAAAATACATTTTAAAGAGTAGATGGATTTGAAAATATAGAATTCATTAATAATGAGAATCAATGGTACACATACACACATATTCTGTTCTCTTTCACTCTGTCTTTGTCAAATGTACTTTTACATATATTTTGAGGAGATTTT